AAAAAAAAAAAAAAAAAAAGGCATTCTTAGAAAATAACACCAACTGAGATTTCACATAGCACAAAACTTTATAGAGAACCATGCTGTCAGCCTGCACAGTTATACAAGTTCTTCAATGCAAACTGGAGGTAAAAAAAAAAAACAAAAAAAAAAACAAGGTGACCATCTCTTAGGGGAAACTTTAAAACATCTTCTGTCTACAGCAGGGGTGGAGAACTCCAGGCCTCAAGGGCCGGTGTCCTGCAGGTTTTAGATGTGTCCTTGATCCAACACAGCTGATTTAAATGACCTCCTCAACATGTCTTGAAGTTCTCCAGAGGCTGGTAATGAGCTAATCATTTGATTGAGGTGTGTTGACCCAGGGTGAGATCTAAAACCTGCCCTTGATCCAACACAGCTGATTTAAATGACCTCCTCAACATGTCTTGAAGTTCTCCAGAGGCTGGTAATGAGCTAATCACTTGATTGAGGTGTGTTGACCCAGGGTGAGATCTAAAACCTGCAGGACACCGGCTCTTGAGGCCTGGAGTTCACCCACCCCTGGTCTATAGTATAGAGTTTTGAAAATGTGTTTGGTGGGGGTCTTTGTTAATAGCCAAAACTGTAACATTTACAAAAATACACAAGTTATACAGTTGTCTATGCACTCATATTTTCTAAAGCTGCCAAGTGGACCAGATTTCAATAATCCTGGGCTTAAAAAAAAACAAAAAAAAAAACAGAAACACCCTATACAAAGTCTCCCCATTATCAGAAACCCAAAATAGTCAGACCCCAGAACCCATGGACATCCCCATTCAAGTTGTTGCAGCCACCTTTCAGTTGCTTCTTGTTCTGGTTTTTCTGCATTTATTATCCATTTGCTCCGAGGTGCTGTCCGGTCAGTTATTCACCATTTGTCAGACAGGGCAGGTCCCTTTGCTCAGATGAAGCCAAATGCTGCGAAACTGATCAGACAGCACTTCACCTTGCACACAGTAGCAGACTGTAGCTGGCTATGATTATGCACGTTCTGCTCTGGAATCTTTTGTAAACCAGAGAGCCGGGTGACAAACAAAGACTACTGCCACAGCAGGGGACTTTGAATTTGTTCAGCAATGACAATATTTATGTCAGAAGCAGATAATTAATGCTCTTATTGTAAATATGCTAACATTCACTGGGTTATTTAGTAAAGTATGTTTTTGGTTTTTGTCCATATTCATCCTGCTGCAATATAGCCACAAACACAATCTTATTCTGTGGGAAATGCCACATAAATTCAGAAGTTTTCAAAACAAAATCCACTTCACTTACGGTAATGTTCTGAACAGATGTTGAATATTTAACTGCATTTTAAAAGCCGGAAGCATGGACACAATTTAACTGCTTTTTAAAATCAGTTGTCTAAAACTTACTGGTAATTTTTATCATTTACATATATTTTCTACATTGCTCTAGAAGGTCATCCCACTACGAGTTTCAGATGCTCAGTGATTAGATATTTTATACAACTAAACTTTAGTGTCATTTAAATCTTTGGAAATTGTGGATGTCGTGTTTACAAAACAGCTTGACTAGTATGATAAGTCAAAAGAAACACCACAACATGATAAAAGATGGCACTTACATTTTGGAGGTCCAGTGTTCATCTGCGTGCGGGAAAGTAGTCTGATGGTAGGCTTAACTGATGCTGGCAGGCGGGCCAGCATGTCACTCTTCAACTAATGCAGCACGGGACACCTTTTCCTCACCATACTGGGGACAAACAGAGCAGGTCAAAGTCAGCCGTTGACACACACATACTTACATTGGTGTGAAAATACTTTGGCATCACTGATTTTCACAGTTCAGTTTGACCTTTTGCAAATGGCAGCTTGTAATAAAGAGAAACCATGGCTCTGTATAAGCTCACTGTGTACACACTGCAGGCAGCAAGGAGCTGAGATGGAGATGAACAAAGCAGCACATAGTTGTAGAGTGATGGCAGACTGTAAGCCAGCCAGCTTTCTGTGTCAAGCTAAGAATATGTCAAAAATGTTTTAGCAGCAAATCAGAAAATTAAAAAATTGGGGAAAAGCAAAGAGCCATGCTTACAACACAATCTAAAACTTTTATTTTAATTATTTCATCATAATGCAGAGGTACAGAATCAGTGACATATATAAAGAATTGTTTTAAATAAGGAAAACAAACACAATGCCATTTTTTCTTCCTTTTGTTTGTCCTTTTAGAATTACTTTCATCTTCTCCAGTAATACAAACATATTTCATACAAGCCATTCTTTAACATCTCACTGTTATATCCCCTTCTTGACTGTCAATTATACCAGCAATACGCTAGCTTCACTTTTCAGAACTGGAAGCTGTGTGTCCACACAGACACACCTCATATTCAGAACTGTGCAAAAGCCTTGAAGTACCTCTCATTTCTTTACAATTTGCTTCAACAGATCCAGGCTTTGTTTTTTGTGTTTTTTGGACATTGGTGGCTTTTTCACTCATTTTCTGTTCAGTTCTTGTACCTTACCATTTTCATAAGAATATTTTTATGTTTGGAGGGGGAGAAAAGGCTGAGGGATGCCAAATTACATAGGAACCACATGAAAATCAGTGGCAACAAATCATAATTGAGGTTCTGTCATGGTTTGGAGCTGCATTCAGTCACGCTGGTGGAGATATTTTCAAAATTGATAGATTCATGAATATAGAAATGTACCATCAGATTTTGATCCACCATGCGGTACAAACATCTGATTGTCCACAGCTTTGTGTAGTAAACGCATACCCTGATTTAAAAAACAAAACAAAACCACAGACAGTGGAACACCATCGGTCATGGACTGGCCTCGTCAGAGTCTGGACATCAACACTGAAGCAGCGTGGAATCATCTCAAAACCAAACAGCCGACAGCAAACATCCAAAGAAGGGCTTTGAATGTTCTCCAAGAAGCCTGGAGAACTATTTTTGAAGACTGGCAAGTTACAAGACAGCTACCTAAGAAGTCAGGCTGGTGGTCATAACCAAATATTTACTTTAAAGCTTGTTATAATAGTACAAACTGTGATTTTGCCTTACATATTGCATTTGTTTTTATTTCTGGATATTAAGTAAATTGCTGCACCTAGTTCCATTTTCCTAACTCCATAAAAAGGAATTGGAAGGCAGTCTTCAGACTTTTCTGTAATATTGCATAGTTATATATGCTGTGGTTTAAAGTGTCACTGAAACCTCTGACTTCATGTTAACTCAAATAAATATATTTTCAAGGAGTTTAAGATTTGAAATAAGACAATTAAGAAAATAGATTAATGGAATCTTGATGGAATTAAGATTAATTGAGAATATAAAGATTTTGAGAACTGCAGCAGAATTCCTTTTTCAGCTCCTCCACTGAGAGGGAAGAGGAAGGGATCTGTTAAGAAGCACAACTGCCGAATCATCCTCCATTTGTAGTTTATGATTCATCACGAGTTAACTATCTGAACAGTGGAAGTTAAGATTGACCTGTTATTCAGGATAGGAAAGACAAACCAGTTATAAACTATACAATCCATAGAAACTGTAGGCCTTTTAGTGTGCTCACTGACTTGATTCAGTGATATATTTATGATTATACACACAAACAAGTCTGTCTACAGTGTTCAGACCCAGAATATAAAGCAGTTAGTTACTAAGCCAGTGTAACCGTATTTTTTTTAACAATCAGGAATCAATAAAACATTATCAGCACTCATCCTTCCTTACCACAAAGGTGCGTTTATTTTGGCACAATTTCCCCGAGGTTTCAGATGAAGTCTCCTGCTGAGAAATGGTGTTTGTGTCAGATGCCAGACACCAGGCTTTTCTACTTAATCTTAATTAAAATGCATTGGGCTACACATCGACGCTTCAGTCCTAGCTGTATATATACACACACACTTATTTTACCCTCTGTACCCAACCTTTCAAACATACCCACACCAGCTAAAGCTGTCTTCCTAAGGCTGAACCGCTTTCTTGGAGTGGTCTTACAGCGGGAGAGGTGAACTTTCTGACAGCCAGTCTGCAGCTAGGTAACGTTAGCCATCTGTCTAACAATCCAGTCTCAACCTGCTGCAGTTTCAAACAGCTAGCTAACGCCTGTAGCCTTCAATAAACCACCCCGGACGATTCCAGTGGCCAAACACCATGTGAACCCCAGGCAGAACCAGACACCTTCAGAAAACTGATGTTAAATCGTTCAAAAGGTTACCTCAAGTCAAGCACCACAGTAAATAAGGAGCCTCTTTGTGCTTATTGTGAACAGGCCAGCTGGTTAGCAAACTTTAGCTTCTCGTTGACGGAAAGCGCCGCCGTGACCTGTGTTAAAGAAAGCGATACTTACTCCTCAGGAATCTTTGAGTAAGTAAACTTCATTTTGTGGCGACATAACGTTGATAAGGATTGTAATCAGCGTGTCAGCTCTTCGTGCTGCTGTCTGCTAAAGCAGCATCATCTGTCGGACATGCGCAAACAGGCAGGACCCCTTTTCTGCATTTAAGGCATCGACGGTGAACGCCTGTCCATTAATCCACCACAGATGAGACGCTATTAAAGCCCAAGAGCGTCATTTTATCATAAATTTATCACAGATTATATAAACTTTAAGAGATCTTGTTATTCTGCTTGGGTGTTCCTGTCAGCCTTATATTTAGGCGGACAAATGTTAACAGTTGGTCACTTACTTATCACCTGGCATGATTTGGATTTTCTGAAGTGGTGGCATGAAAAAAAACTTCCACAAAAAGCAAGTTTTTTTTTTTTTTGTTTTTTTTTTAGTGAATTAAACTAAAAAGTAACAGTGTAAAAAAAACATTCTGGCCAACGGAACTAAAAATTCAATCAAACGAAAAAATAAATAAATAAATAAAAAACAGATAAAAAATGGTTTTGTGGTTTGTCAAATTTTCCAGCACAAGCAGACCGAAGAGACATTAATGCAGACGGTTAACCTGACTGGGATGACTGTGTGACAAGAATTTGTATTTTAGGAAGTTTAGATAAGCACATTATTAAAATAATAGTATCTGGCACCACTAATATTTTAAAGAAAAAAAAATAAATTAACACTAAAACGAATCAAAACTCAAACCAACTGATCCCCCCGGGGAAATAACAAACTTTACTAAAGTTTATTAAATGTACTAATATACAATTAAAAATCACATAGAAAATAAAACTGATGAAAAACAGAATACTACTGCACAATTACTGTGGTGAGAAGTAAAACAGGAAACAACTGAGAAAGATTTGAGTTTAAAGCTTCAAACAAACTCAGATAAGGTTATTTTAAGTTACTTTATGATTCTAAATTGGTGGCCAGTTTAGAATCATAAATTAACCTAACCTCATTGTTGGACTACAGGAAGAGAGAAGACTATTTGATCCATGGACCTTCTTGTTGTGAGGTGATGGTGCTTACCACTGCACCATCTCGCCAGGGAAACATCTGTTTTTTGGTTGTTGTTGTTTGTTTTTTACAATTGTTTGTTTAGTTGACTTTTAAATTTTTTCCTTTATATTTACTATTAACTACTACTAAAATTATGTTCACTGCTGTAACAAAAGAGTATTTATATTGTATACTCAACTTGTAAATTCCTGCCTTTTAACACTTCTGCTTTAATTTAAAGGAGAGAAAATAAAGAAATAAATCATGGCAGTTTGATTTATTAGAATGACAGTTTGAGAGTGAGCAGATTCTATTGTATACAGATGGATGACATGCAGCAGGAGCATACACGAACATATGAACATTTGAGACAAACAGGGCATGAAGAAAGTGAAGATGAGAGACTCACACACAAAAAAGCATCAACAACAAGAATAACAGTCTTTTATAAATTCTCCCAGACTGACCGCTTCTTCACTAATAACTACACAAACTAAACATCCCTGCCAGGTTGCAGTCAGGTCGTCTGGAAACACAAGAGTGGATAGAAATGCGGAAACCATTTGCACGTTTTGCTAAAATGGACGGATTCTGTGAGCAGCGGTAGTGGATTACACTTCCAAACTAGAAAGCGCTGTGACAATTACAAATTTTAACAGATATAACATTGTTTATGATAAGTTTGATTATCCAGTGTACCCCGCTAGAATATCACTTCATATCTGATGCCACAGTTCAGAAATTGCAGATATGTAGAAACGCTGAACAGAAAAGAGTGTCTCTCTGAAATGTGAAAGTTTGGTTTGTTGACACTCTGTTAAACATGGCTTAGCATCTATAGGTAACTGTAGTGTCAAATTAAACATTGGTCCTCAGATGCACAATCCCTCCTTCTGATACACTAAAAATCAAGTCAGTCTGTTCTATTTGGCATCACTGTTTGGCCTCATGTTCTAAATCTATTTGATTGCCTCACGTTTTACGCAATATAAACATGCTCAGTTCTCTAAACCGGTTACTTTCACAATTTCTCTGTAATCCCCCCCAATTCCCCTCACCAGCCAAATTTTTCTACTTTTAATCAAGGCCAAGCCAGCAGCTACATTTTACATTAAAACCCACTGTATATATATTTATAAGTGTATATATATATATATATGTATATATATATTAAAAATCAAAAAAGTCATACACATTACACACTAACCACATTAACACAAGAATTTTCTACCCGTTTCCCTGTCAGCATATAAATTATGTTAAAATGTGTCATGCTTGATATCAACAGACGCAGAGAGAAAAACTTCATTCAGAGGGGAGCAGACAAAAAGTCTGCAAAGGACTGAAGGTGGAGATTTGAAAAAAATCAACAGGGCTTCTTTTGAGACTGAGAGCACCTTTGTCTCAACTTCTGAGACATAAACAGTGTTTCACTGGTAAAAATGACAACATGAAACGCACTGGAAAAACAAAAGATTGAAATTATCTGTGGAATACAGATGTGTCGCATAACAGAGGTATATAAATTAACAAAAGGGCTGAAACATAAAGAATGTACAAACTGGCCTCAGTGTATAATTACCAAAGAGTAGGTGTTATGATATAATAAATAACAAATATAATCTGCCTCATCTTTCAGTCTAATATCAGCTCTCTTGTTCAATTGTGTTTTATACAAGCCGGCCAATAAATACAATTCAAACACAACAAATAAAAATCCATCACAAAATATTCAAGTTTTAAACTAAAATCAAAATCTTTGAATGAGCAGCAGTGCATGCAGATTTTCTGGTCCTGTATAAAGTAAGGCACCAGAGGTTTCCAAAATTCACTTGGTATACAGAGTATACGTATAAAACAACAAAAATCTTCAAGTGTATTAAAGGCAGTCTATGAGAGTGCATACAACAGAGACTGGAGTCATGTGGAGTCTTCGGTTTTCAGGCTTAAGCTGAGCCGGTCACCTTCTGCAGCAGAGGGATCTGCAAAAAAATCCCCAAAACGAACAGATTATTTGTAAGGCTTAACTGAAGTACAACCTCGCTGGTTTCAGCGTCCTTTAGGTTCACACTGGAAACAAAAACTTAAATCCAACACGCTGAATCACAAAGGTTAACAGGAACACATCATATATAAAATGATATAAAGATGTTACCTTCGACAAATCCACTCCAGTGAGAGCGTTGACCGACACAGGAAGTTCGGCCAAAAGGCGGTTCACCTCGCCTGTCACGCGGCTGCCCTCGCCACTCAGAATGACAATTTCATTCGTCCTGGCTAAGGGCGCCGCCACTTTGGAAGCAATCTGCAAAGACATAATTAAGCATTTACAGTAAGATGGAAATAATCCAGCTCTGGTGTTTTGTGTGACATGTTAGACTAGCCTAAAGAAAAATACCAATACCTAATCAAATATCAACACTTTTCCAGGTCCATTAAACTTAAATCAGCTGGAAGGCTGATTGTTTTAAATTTGGTCCACCATTTCTGGACTTTTTGCTAACTGTCATGGGACAGCAGGCTTGTTGTCAGAGAAGGTGAGATCATAAGGTTTCGGGAATCTGCACTTCTGCCTCTGACAAATCTCTCCAAGTGTGCCAAAAATGGCTTGCATTTCATTTTGGGGGAATTGAGTACTCAAAGTCAAAGGGAGAGAAATCTAATGGGAGGTGAGCTTAAAGTGTGTTTGTGTGGCCAAAACAGTGCATGGCACCTGCCACAGTTCAGGTTGTTTCTCCTGAATGTCTTCCCCTCAGACGCTTCAAGACCTTACAGCAGATCTGAGCACCGACAGTCTCCCTCTGGGGGATCGATTCAAAATGCATAACTCTGTGAATTTACAAAAGCAAACAGAGATATCAGCTAGCATGCTAGCACAAAATGATCCTCCAAGTGAAAGTTAAGTGAGTTTGGCGCAGGAGGGGAAATCCAACAGAAGTCGATGTTTGCTTTCTGCAGATGGCTGAGGTTGACAGCAGTGCTGGAAGCAATACAGATGGATCTTTTTAATAGACTGGGGTTATGGTTCTTTACGATCACGCATTGTTGAATTCTTAGTAATAACATTTGTACCAAAGCGTTAAATGCAACCAAAACGTGATGAAACTGAAGTGATGAAAAACTTGTGCTTAAATTCATGTGGACATAAAAAGAAAAATACTTCTAATTCATCAACCTTGGGCCGGGTGATGCTTGTAAAATGACATCCAAGTTCTTCTCTTCCTTCATCTGAGCAGTATGAGCACATATCTGTGTGTTACCTTAGGCAGGGCCTCGAGGACCAGAGCTGTCTTAGCTGCATCTCCGTACTGCTCGTAGGCCTCAGCCTTCAGTCTCATCTTCTCAGCCTCGGCCTTTCCCACCGCTTCAATCGAGCTAGCCTCCGCCTCACCGATCTTTTTGATCTTCTCGGCCTCAGCCTGGGCAATCAGCACTTTCTTCAGCCTGAAGCAGGGAAACATTAAAGTAATATTTGCTGTTATCAAAATCACTTCCTGAGTGGGTAGGATGCAACTTTTTTGAGACAATTTGCTTCTTAGTGACGTGTCATATGTTAATATGTCTTCATGCACAAGTTTTGGATGTTGGGATAGTTTTTACAGCTTCCCTTTCTCAAATAAAGCCCACAGCAGCACACGATAAATTTCAAATCTCTTTTGCTCTGCTTCTACGGGTGGATGCACAGGAATATCAGCTTTTTGCAAATCAGTATAATTAGACATGCACAGACTTTTTCATACAGAGCACCTGGAAATTACACGATACATTTCACTTCAGTAAGGAAAAACATATATGGAAATATATCATTAAAAACACAGTCATGCTTCCTTAGTCCAAACTTTCCAGGTGTTTGTTTTGTAGGATTCTGCAGGGATTAAACCAACAAAATAAATAAATATATATTTTACATCAGGGAGGTAATGTGCTGCTAATCATGTCTGACAAGAGCTGTGGTACATTCTTGGGGATCTTGCCATTTCTACTCATTCCTAAATCTGACTGAATGTCTTTTCACTCACTTCTCGCCCTCAGCCAGCTGCTGCATTTTATAGGCCTCGGCCTCAGCAGGCCTCTTTACAGTGGCAATG